GTAAAGAAATAGCAATTCAATTAAGAACAAAACATGAATGAATCAAACATCTATGAATAAACCATTCTCTAGTCCTCTATACTGCTTAAAGTGATAGGAATGACCCGGGAACACCACACAAAGGCTAAACAGATGAATTCACATGGCTCTGGATGATCTTCTAGGACTCACACGTCAGCTAAGCAAAGCAAATTATTCTAAACTCATGTGTCTTTAGTTACTAGCTAATTTTTATCCTAATTTTACAGATCACTGAAAGAAAACTATAGAAATATTTGGCAAAATATGACAGCGCACCAAAATGGCACCATCTTCACTGGGGCTTCAGAGTTTCTCCTGAATTGTTTTGTCAGGCCCCCCACTTGGCAGCTCTGGTTATCCCTGCCCCTCAGCCTCTTGTTCCTCGTGGCCATGGGGGCCAATGGTGTTCTCCTGATCACCATCTGGCTGGAGGCCTCTCTACACCAGCCCATGTACTACCTGCTCAGCCTCCTCTCCCTCCTGGACATTGTTCTCTGCCTCACTGTCATCCCCAAGGTCCTGGCCATCTTTTGGTTTGACCTCAAGTCCATCAGCTTTGATGCCTGCTTCTTACAGATGTTCATCATGAATTTCTTCTATGCCATGGAGTCCTGCACATTCATGGTCATGGCCTATGACCGCTATGTGGCCATCTGCCACCCACTGAGGTACCCATCCATCATCACAGAACAATTTGTAGCTAAGGCTGCTGCCTTTATTTTGGCCAGGAATGCTATTTCTACATTGCCTATCCCCATTCTATCATCCAGACTCCATTACTGTGGGGGAAATGTCATTGAGAATTGCATCTGTGCCAATATGTCTGTCTCCAAGCTCTCCTGTGATGATGTCACCATCAATCGCCTCTACCAGTTTGCTGCAGGCTGGACACTGCTAGGATCTGACCTCGTCCTCATCTTCATCTCTTACAGCCTCATACTTCAAACTGTGATGGGATTAAAGGCGGAGGGTGCTATGGCCAAAGCCCTGAGCACATGTGGTTCTCACTTCATCCTTATCCTCTTCTTCAGCACCGTCCTTCTGGTCTTTGTGCTCACTCATGTGGTGACAAAGAAGGTCTCTCCTGATGTTCCAGTCTTGCTCAATGTCCTCCACCATGTCATCCCTGCAGCCTTGAACCCCATTGTTTATGGAGTGCGCACCCAGGAGATCAAACAAGGAATCCAGAGATTACTGAAGAAGGGATGGTAGTGAGGACCACTAGATCTCTGCATTCCTAATACAGGATGAGTTTTGACTCAATAATGGCTGAGTGGGCTGAAAGTCACGTCTATGAGTTATAATTCAAAGTGGGTAAATGTGATATTGTCTTCTTCAATAAAAGTTAAGGTTTAATAGTTAGTTTTGCTTCCTCTTATTTCTCCTTTAAAACTAACCCTGACCCCTTTTGTTTTCTCCCATCCATACGATCATATTTTTACAAGAAACTGGAATTTCCTAGGTAGGCTCTAAAGTGAGAAATCCATATTTCTGATTGTTAATATGTCATGTCTTTATATTCTTGAATATACAACTACAGATGTTTTTGGGTAGAGTTGTGTAACGGGTTCTTATTCCTTTTTCAACAGACAGGAATGTATTTTTTTTAAATCTTTGATTTTCTGGTTGATCCACTCATTCTTTAGCAGGATGTTCTTTAACCTCCATGTATTTGAAGTCTTTTCAGACTTTTTCTTATGGTTGATTTTACATTTCTTAGCATTGTAGTGTGAAAATATGCATGGTATGATATTGATATTTTAGTACTCGTTGAGGGCTGTTTTGTGACATAGTATGTGATCTATTCTGAAAAATGTTCCATATGCACTCAAAAAGAATGTTTATTTTGCTACTTTAGGATTAAATGTTCTGAATATATCATTAAATCCATCACATCCAGTGTGTCATTCAAATCTACTGTTTCCTTGTTGATTTTGTGCTTAGATTACCTATTCATTGTGTAAGTGGGGTGTTGAAGTCCCCTCCTATTGTTGTATTATTATCCCTGAATTTCTTTATTTTTATTATTGTTTTATACATTTGGGTGTTCCCATGCTGGGTGTATCAATATTTACAGCTGTTAGATCTTCTTGATGGATAGACTCCTTAATTATGATGTAATGCACCTCTTCATCTCTTGCTACAATATTTATTTATTGATTGGTTATCTTTTACAGATTTTATTTTTATTTACTCATGAGACACACACACACACACACAGAGAGAGAGAGAGAGAGGCAGAAACACAGGCAGAGGGAGAAGCAGGCTCCATATAGGGAGCCTGATGTGGGACTCGATCCCAGGTCTCCAGGTTCAGGCCCTGGGCTGAAGGCGGCACTAAACTGCTGAGCCACCCGGGCTGCCCTAATCTTTGTTTTAAAATCTAGTTTGTCTGTTATAAGCATGGCTACTTTGGTTTTTTAAATGTCAATTTGCATAATAGATGGTTCTCCATCCCCTCACTTTCATTCTGCAGTGTCTTTAGGTCTAAAATGAGTTTCTTGTAGATACCATATAGATGGATTATTATTTTTGATATTCTGATTCTGATACCCTGTGTCTTTTGATTAGAGCATTTAGTTTCCATTTACATTCTGAGTAATTATTGAAAGATGTGAATTTAGTGCCATTGTATTCCCTGTGGAGTTAGTATTTCTGATGATGTTCTCTGGTTCTATCTATCTATAATCTATCTATTTTAAGGTTTTATTTATTTATTTGAGAAACTGTGAGAGAGATCACAGAGGGAGAAGGAGAGGGAGAAGCAGACTCAGGGCTGAGCAGGGAGCCTGATGAGGGGCACAATCCCAGGACCCTGAGATCACGACCTGAGCCAAAGGAGATGCTTAACTGACTGGGCCATCCAGAGACCCACCCCCTCTGGTCCTTTTTCTTTTTCTTTTTTTAGTTTTTGGTACTTTTGGTCTTTCTCTTCACTCCAAAAAATTGCTTTTAAAATTTCTTGCAGGACTGGTTTAGTGGTCATGAATTCCTTTAGTTTTTGTTTGAGAAACTTTTTCTCTCCTTGAATTCTGAATGATAGCCTTGGTGGTTAGAGAATCTTGGCTGGGTAGTTTTCCATTCGATATATTGAATATTTCCTTCCATTGTCTTATGGCCTGCCATGTTTCTATGGACAGATCTGCTGGAAGCCTAATCTGTTCCTTTATAGTTTAAGAGTATTGTTTCCCCTTGCTGCTTTCAGGATCCTTTTCCTTTTCTGTATAGTTTGTGGATTTGACTGTGATATACCTTTGGGATGTTGGGGTTTTGTTGAATTTAATGGGAATTCTCCATGGTTGTTAGAATCGTTGTCTGTATTCTTCCCCAGATTAAGGACATTTTCAACTATATTTATTAGAATAAACCTTCTACCCCTTTTTCTCTCTTTTCATCTCCTAGGATTCCCATGATACGAATGTTATCATGTCTTAATAAGTTGCTGAGTTCCCTAAGTCCACCTCTATGGTCCATTAGTATTTTTTCCCTCATCTTTTCGGCTTTATTATTTTCTATTATTTTATCTTCTATACCACTGATTCACTCCTGCACTTCATCTATCCTTTTTTTCTTTATGGCCTCCATTTAGGTATGCATCTTACTTTTAGCATTTTAAATTGTGGCCTGACTATATTTTTGTTCTTTTAACTCGCCAGTAAGGCATTCTCCCAGTAAGGTATTCTCTTGTATCTTCTATGCTGTTTTTAAGCCCAGGTAATATCCTTATAATCGTTGTTTTAAATTCTTGTTGAGACATCTTGCTTATGTCTATGTGGATTAAATGACTGGCTTTCAGTTCTACTTCCCACTCTTTCTTTTATGGTAAATTTCTCTGTCTTGTTATTTTGTCCAGAAAAGACAAGAAGAAATAGAAAAAAAATATAAAAACAGAAAATGAAACAAAACACAAAGAAAAACAAAAAACAAAGGAACCCTCCTGAAACAAAAAAAAAACCCTCTAATTCTTGGATGTATTTTCATTTGTTTGTTAAAGAATCATATATATATATATACACACACACATATATATATGATACACACACATATATATATAATCATACATATGTGTGTTTTTGGTATATATAATATTAATACATATGTCATGAAAATAAAAAATATATGTCAAAAATACTTAAACACAAAAATTTTAAAAAATTAACAATAAAAATGAATTGAAGATAAAAATAAATGAATAAATAATAATTGCAATAAAATGAAGAGTAAAACTAAAAAGGAAGCTATACCCTGTTTCCCCTAGAGCTGAAGCTTTGCAGCACTGTGTTCAGTAGACTTGGTATGAGTGAGTTGTTTGTGCTGCTCTTCTGGTGGAGAGGGCTGTTTTGCTGATTTTCAAGTTAACTTTTTTCAGTGTAAGTATGCCTCCAGGGCTTGATGTGAGTGGCTTCCCTCCACTATGTCGTGCTATTTGGTTCCCAGAAGTCTTTCATTGCTGATGGGGAGGATGAATATGGCAGCACTCTGCTCTCTAGCCCTGGAGCTGAAAGTTCTTGGCCACCCCCCTACTCTTTGGAGAGCACTCACAGAAGAGCAATCAGTCACCCCTCTTGTGTTCCTAGTTTCTGTCTGAATGCTGGATTCACCTTCCCTGTGACTGAGCTTTTTAATCCCAGGTGTATGACTGACGTTCAAAACTCCAAATTTTAGGGACTCCCATGGTGTGGACCCACACTGTTCCTCTTGGGAAGGGTCTCCCTGTGATTTTACCATTTGCTAGCTAGTCCCAGGAAAGCCTTTCCTTGACTACACAGTGGTTCACAGTTTATGGCAACACAGACAAGAAAACTGGCACCAAGCCCCAGTGCTCCCAACTGGCTTTCCTGCTCCTATGCCTGGAAACTGCGACAAGTTGGTGCCAAATGATATTCTTGTGACCCAAGGTATCCTCTGACCATGCTCTCACTCCTGGATCTTGTGGTAACTTAGTAGGCAGTCCTCTTCCCTACAGACATGTTCACAGCTGTAATCTCCCTCAATTCAACTATCTGTGCCCCTCCTACCTTCCAAAAGGTGGTCACTTTTTGATGTGTAGACTTCCAATTTTTGTTCTCTGACCTCTGATTAGTTTCTTGGGTATTCAGAGTGATTTGATAACTATCTAGCTGTGTTTGAGGGACAAGATAAGCTTAGAGTCTCCCTACTTCACAATCTTAACTCCTTCTCTTTGCAACTGTTTTATTTTTTGAAACATTTGGTTCTTCTTTATAACTGAATATACTACTTATTCTTTCCAGTATTTATTAAATCTTTGAGGATTTTAATGCTTTTGTTTATCTAACAAATACTTTCTCTTATATGCTAAGCATTCCTAATTTATCCTCAATTGTTATTCTTTCTGGCTCATTAGTTCTACTTTTTATGATATGGTTGTTCAATTCATTGCCTTTTTAAAGAAAAGATTTTATTTATTCATTCATGAGAGACACAGAGAGGGAGAGAGAGAGAAGCAGAGACATCGGCAGAGGGAGAAACAGGATCCATGCAGGGAGCCTGACATGGGGCTCGATCGAGGGCCCCCAGAATCAGGCCCTGGGCTGAAGGTGGTGCTAAACCACTGAGCCACTTGAGCTGCCCTTATTGCCTTCTTTCAATAGTGTTATTATTTTCTTATTTTATATCCTGTATATGCATATGTCCCTGAGGTAATGATTTTCTTAACATTTTCTTTTCTTAGGTTGCTTTATTGTAACAGTTCATTATATAATAAATATACCAAATGTGAGTTAGCCAACTATGTGGTTATTGGTGTGTCAGTGAGTAGCAGGTTATTAAGTTTTCTGAGGATCCAACGTTACACATGGATTTTTGACTATGTAGTGGGTCAGTGCCCCTAATGCATATGTTGTTCAAGGTTCAACTAAATTGCTTTGACAGCATTTCAAGAATTTTGATGTGCTGTATTTCAATTTTTTTTTTCTGTTCACAATACTTTCTACTCTCCATTTTGATTTTTTTTTCTCATGGATTGTTTAGGAGTGTATTGGTTAATTTTCAAATGTTTGGGAATATTTTCAGACATCACTTTATAGTTGATATTTAATTTAATTTCACTGTGGTGAGGGAATATACTTTGTATTAATCTTTTCAGGTGTCCTGGGCTTGTTTTTATGTCCCAGAGCATAGTCTATTTTGGTTAAAAAATGCATACTTAGTGTTGTTCTTGGCTTTCAAACTCATCTTTTTTGACATTGTTTTAGGTATTCCAGTTTTCTTTGTGAAGTGTTGATATGGTGTAGTTTTCCGTTTTTGTTTGTTTGTTTGTTTGTTTGTTTGTTTTACTTTGCCCTGTTTGTGCTTATATTTGAGGTACATTTTGTGTTGGCAGAATTTATTAAGTCTTTCTTATTTATTCAATCTGACAAGCTTTGGCTTTTAATTGGATGATTAGTCTATATGTACTTACTTTGATTTATGGATGCCTTTGAGTTTAACTATATCATTTCGGTGTTTGTTCTTTGTTTCCTTCCCCCTGTGTATATACAGTACACCTCTTTACTAGTCACAGTACTCCTTCAAGTGACAGCATATCATTTCACATATAATGTGAAATTTACAATGATATGGTTCCATTTCTTCCTTCTTGGCTTGTGCTATTTATTATTGTCATACATTTTAGAAACCACATACTGCAAAAATAATGCTTTGCATTGTTTTTTTGTTACAGACAGTTTTATTAAAATACATTTAAATATTGACAAAGTTACTTATTTATCCATGTTGCAACATATTCTGATGCTCTTCAATCCTTTCTGTAGATCCATTGTCACATTTTATAATTTCCCTTTCAAAAGAATCCTTGTAAACATTGTAGTGTGCACCTACTGGTGACAAGTTTTGTGTACACTTTACCCCAGTTTTTATATAAATATTCCTTTACTGTGTTTTCACTTGCATTGTTTCTGAAATCTGCTGTTGTGCTTAATTTAATCCCTTTGTATGTAATGTGTCTTTGTTTCTGGATTTTACAATTGTTTTCTTTATCATTACTTCTGAACAATTGGTTTATGATGTACTTTACTATATTCTCAAGTTTGTTAATCTTGGGTCTCATCGAGCTCTTGGAACTACAGGTATATAATTTTTATCAGATTAGGAAACTTGCAACCATTACTTTAAAAATATATTTTATGTTCCCTCTTTTGTTAAGAGATGGTGCTTTGACATGTCAAATATCCTTATGTGCGCTGAGAGGACAATAAATACACATGTAAGAATTTCTTCTATACCTGTTTATAATATTCATTTATATGGTAGGTGTTTTATAATGGGCCATATGGGTCCATCCATTTTCAAAGTCTTTTAAACATCAAGTTACTTATATAGACAGGGCCACAAAATCTATAGGTGGCCTTGGATGAAGGTAATCATAACTTCTTAAGTGATCACAGTCCATTTTGAACTGCTTCTTTTTTAAAAAAAAGATTTTACTTATTTAGTTAGTTATTTAGTTATTTATTTGAGTGAGGGAGAGTGCAAGAAGGCATGAGGGTAGGAGAGAGAGGAAGAAGCAAGCTCCCCACTGAGCATGGAGCCTGACACAGGGCTTGATGCCAGGCCCCCAAGATCATGACCTGAGCTGAAGGCACACTCTTAATAGGCTGAGCCACTTAGGCATCCATTGAGGTGCTTTCTTCTTGTGACTCTCTTATTTGTCCTCCCTTTAACCTGACCACTACATCGTTTTGTAATTTCCATGCTAATGTCCACACAGTAGAAGTAGGGATGATATAGGGGTTCAGCAGGGCTTTTGCTGGGCTTCCTTCTCTTCTTCTTATTTATTATTTCCTTAGGGTTTTCCACCTACTCCATTGCTTCAAGTATGGTCTGTAGTCAATTCTCAAGTGTACATCTTATTTGAGTGTTAAACCTGTGTGTAGTAACCTGTGCTTACTATATACTTGTGTTACTCATGAGTATTCAAACTCAGTACCTAAAAATGTACTTCTGATCTTACCTCTAAGCCTCCATCTGTCCCAAGGCAATATTTCATACAGTCTTCAGATTTCAGACCATGGATTCTTGCATGAGATATAGTCTCCCTCACCCTTAATATGCAGTGTAAGAACTCAGAGAACAAGGACCGTAACCGAATTATATTCCTAGTAACTAGCATACATTTAATCATTTATTCAACTTGTATTCAGTCATTGATTTCACAAACATTTATGGTCTCTCCTGTACTACTAGCACTGTTTGGACACTGGAAATACAACAATGAACACATCAGGCAAAAGTTCTTGCCCTTCTGCTCCTTATATTTTAGTGACTGTAGGCTGACTAAATAAATAGATGAGCAAAATATACAGTCAGTATATAGCGATTGATGCTGTGCAGAACAGGGAAACAGAGAAAGTGTTAGAATATCATCTGTGCTTTGGGGGAATATTGTTGAGCACTATTTTTAAATACTGTGGTCAGGGAGACCCAAGGAGGGAACGAGCTATGTGGTCAGAGAAACAACAAGCAAAAAGTCCCAGAGACAGTGGTTCATGTTTTTGAGAAGCTGTTAGGGAGGCAGTCCTGACTGAGGGACTGAAGAATAAGACCAGATACACAAGGAATCCCACCTACATAAACAAATTCCTCTCTCCTCTGGGCTTATTGATGAGTTTTAATTTAGCCCTTCTACATTGATTTTACATGTTTATGGGTATTCCACCAGGCCTTTTAGAGTAATGGGATCAAGATTTATGTATGTTAGAGTCTCATTTTCTAGTTCTGTCCTGGACACAACGTAACAATCAGTAAATATGTTTGAATGCCTGAGGGAAAGGTTAAAGCATAATGGTTAATGCCAATAATTTTAAACAGTTGCTTTTTAATCTCATTTTACTTTTCTAAAGTCAATGCACTGTCAGTGAATACTGATGCTTCCTATCAGCCACACATCTTTAAATGAGTATTTTCTATTATACTGACTCTAAAAGGGATTTAATCTGGAGCAGACAATGAGATGTAATGTGCAGTCTTCAGCAGCATAGCTGAAGACCGTGCTTGGTCTGGTACCATGATGAGAATTTTAAATCTATATCCTTATCTTTAGCAAATAATGGAAAGTAAGTGGTGTGCCTCGTAAGGGGAAACCACACAGTTCATATCTTCAGTCATGCCGAGAGAGAGCATCAGGACTGTAATTTTATCTCTAAGTCCCTGCCTTCAAATAGTGATTTTGAGTGTTCATGTTTGAGAAAAGTCAATCTAGAATATAATTACTTGCATCTCTCTGCTACCCTCCTCAGTAATTTCCTAATTCCCTCTTTAATCTCCTGGGTTCGTACCCCATAGACAATGGGATTTAGTGCTGCAGGAATTACATGATGTAGCACATTAAGTAAGATGGGAATATCTGGGGAAACTTTTTTCTTGGCCATGTGGGTAAAAACAAAGACTAGCAGGATGGTGCTAAAGAAGAGGATGAGAATGAAGTGAGAGCCGCATGTGCTTAGAGCTTTGGCAGCTGCCCCTTTTGCCTTAAGTCTAAGAATGGCTCTTAGGATGAGGATATAGGAGATAAATATGAGGACAATATCAGAGCCCAGAAGAGTCCAGGCCACAATTAACTGGTATATTTTGTTAAGGGAAACATTATCACAGGAGAGCTTGGACACAGAGAGGTTGGCACAGATACAGTTCTCAATTATATTTTTTCCACAGTAATGCAGCCGGGCCGAAAGGATGGGAATAGGTGCAGTAAGAAATGTGCTCCGGGCCAAGATGAAGAGAACAGCCTTTGCCACAAACTGGTCAGTGATAATGGTTGGGTAGTAGAGAGGCTTGCAGATGGCGACATAGCGGTCATAGGCCATGGCCAGGAAGGTGCATGATTCCATGGGCAGGAAGTTATTCATGATGAACATCTGGAGGAAGCAGGCAGGGAGGCTGATGGACTTGAGATCAAACCAGAAGATAGCCAGGACTTTGGGGATGACAGTGAGGCAGAGCACGATGTCCAACAGGGAAAGGAGGCCAAGCAAGTAGTACATGGGCTCGTGCAGAGAGGCCTCTAGCTGTATAGTGATCAGGAGGATGGCATTGGCCCCCATGGCCAGGAGGAACAGGATGCTGAGGGGCAGAGATAGCCAGTGCTGCCAACTGGGAGACCTGACAAAGCAATTCAGGATGAAGTCTGAGACTTCAGTAGAGAGGCAGCTGCTGTTATAAGGTAGCATTAGCAGTGATTTTAGTGAGGCAGATGTCTTTGAGTCGCTGAAGAAGAGATAAGGAGTTAGTCCATCATAGACTCTGATGACTATGGACTTAGCATGTAAAATCTATGAGGGTAACATCTACTCTACAGCCCTGTGCCTAGCACATTTTTTTTGACAATTAGGAGGTGGCAAAAAGACATTTATTGAATATATAGTGTCTTCATCTTTGTTCTTTTGTTCTTTCATCTGCTTTTCATCTCACATTTTTTCTTGTGTGAATGTGTCTTTTCAGTTTGTTGACCTGATTAATATTTAATGAATCAAAAATAATTTAAGCATCAAATGTTACTTAAATGAGACACATAAGATCAAAATCTTAGAGTACATTTCAGTTTAAAATGTAAAATGTACAGAAATGCATTCCAAGGGCTAGGTGGGATCCACAATGAAGCTTTTAAGGAAGTAAATGGTGATAGTATCCAGTGGTATGATGAACTGGGATATCTAGAAACAAATGACCTATTGAAAATGCATCAATTGATTTCTATGATTATGTCTGTATCTAATGTCTCTTTATCAATACCCAATCCCATAGTCATACCCACACACATACCTGTTTCTATGCCTATTTTTATATTTGACTGCCTTGAATACACCTATGAGCAGGTAAACAAGAATGAATTAGCAGGCTAAGGATTGAATGAAATCCAAACACTGAAATCAAATATTGGTGTTGGCTTTCAACCTGAGGGCACTTGTAGCATTCCATGAACTTAATCACCCATGTCCATTACCTGGGGAGCTTGAAAATCTAAAATCAAGGGACAGAAGACAAATCTAGGTTTAAGCAGGTAGAGAATGTAGTAGGGGGTCTCCCAATTAGATAGGACTTTACAAAAGTACATCCTGAATAAACATTGTGCACTAGAAATGAACCCATTTCTTTATCTTGATTTCTCACTTTCACCTGGAACTTCATAGACAACTGAGTACCTCAAAGCTTCTTATGTGAGAGAAAACTTCCCCATAAATACTGAACCATAGGCTGGTCCTCATGTGACTTTGCAGGCTGAGTTCACACTGTTTGTCTCAGAAAGGAATTTGAAATCATCCTGGATTGGTAGCCATTTCAGAAAATAACAGAAACATACCCAACTCCTTTCTTGAGGAAGAAACTTTCATCTCATGCCTCAAAAAAATTTTAACACAGAAAATTCTGAATAAACTGAATTGCTTGTATAAAACGACAATTTATTTAAAGAGAAAAAAATGATAAGTGGAAGGCCCCAAAAATGTCAGCCAAATCTATGCTACAGAAACTTAAAACACTGGAGTTATTTGATAAAGGATATTGGAAAACATTATTTTTTGCTAAGTTTTAAGTAAAAAAAAAGCTTGAAAATAAACACAACAAAATAAACACACACCAAAGAGAAATCAGTCCTATGTCCTAGAAACAAAAAATTATATATAATACTTAAAATTAACATGAAAAGAAATAGACTTAGGGGTAGGTTAGCCACAATTCAAAAGATAATTAGTAAGCTAGATTATAGAACTTAAGAAGTTTTTTAGAATGAAGCTCCCAAGGAAACACTGATAATACAAATGTGTAGTTAAGAGCAAGAGCATGGGATTTTGATTAGACAGAGTTGCTCTCAGGTTTTTTATTTTCTACATCAATAACCAGATTCACGAATTTCAATAAATCTGAAATGGGATAAATAAAAATAAATGCACACCTAGATATCATGGTCTAACTTCAAGTACCAAAGACAAGGAGACAATCTTAAAGATCAGTATGATTATTACAATCAGAATGGGTGTGAGGACACCTGAGTGGCTCAATTTGTTAGGTGTGACTCTTGATCTCAACTCAGTTCTTGATCTTGTGAGTTTAAATGGGTTTGGGCTCCATGCTGGGTGTGGATCCTACTTAAAAAAAAAAAAAGATTGGGTGTGTGTAGGGCCATTGGTACTAGAATTCCAGCTTAAGGGCTGCAAAGTCACCACAAGATTCTTGGCCTCTTTTTGAAGAGTGCTCTTACTGTCACAGCACTTTCATGCTTTCCTCCTAACTCCATATAATTGTACCATTCTGCCCTTGTTTCCCCATTTGCTAGGTTTCTTTACCCAGGTTAATAATGTCTCTAGGTCCATTTTGTGCACTACTGCAGGTAGTCTTCAGGTAGCCTTCTTGGAGCAGCAATTATGACTTCCAAGGGGCCATTACACAAGGGACCTTTCTCAGTGTCTCAGCCTGTAAGATTGTTGTTCTTGGTGCCAATAGGGGCCACGTCTATGCAGAGACTTTTCTAAATAATCTTTTTGGGTACTATGTTGGAGTATGTAGAAGGTGGATAAAAATCTGTGTTAATCTCAAAAAATAGTTGGGTCTGATGCCAAAGCTGTCAGAGGGGCCTGGAGGCAAGAGAAAAGGATAAAAAGTGAAAAATAATGATGAGGGGAATGGAGAAAGTCATTGAGTGGAAATTGGGGCTCTAAGCTTGCTTCCCTTAGTGGGTCTGTTGATCTGGAGCAAGATACAGTGGGGGTGAATCTCGGGCTTTCAGATGAATATAGGCTGAAAGTAGAAGGGTTCAGGAGAACAGAAGCATGCATGCACAGAAAATAGATGGTGGACAGAAGATGGAAACAGAGAAAAAAACTGAAATCAAAGCAGAAGAGATTAGAGGGAGAATACAGAGGAGGAAGGAAACAAAAGAAGTAAAGGACAGAACAGAAAGCAGAGCAGGTACTTCTAGGAAATGAGAAAGGCAGTACAAGGCAGATTAGCAAAGATTTCGAGTAGTGGCAAGTGAAGAAGTGTGATTGGAAACTTTTTTCTTTCCCTTCCAAACCTGCATTCTCCCTTGTGTTCCCATAGTGTTCAATGAAGGAAGTTCAAGACATCTGATCCCCCGTGATACCCTGCTGCGGATCTTTGAACCCCTATCTGGTCCTGACCTCTCTGCAGAGCGCACAGAAGTCTGGCTCAGCACTGGCACAATCATCTCCATCTGGCCCTGTGCCATTCCTCTCGCTCACCTCCCTTCAGCCTTTTATCTTCAAAGCTCAACCCAGTAGCTTTTACAGTCGCAAGCCTGGCTTTAGTCCCACTGCAACCCTTGCTCTGGTCAGGTGTCTAATATGGCACCTCCATTCTCTGCTGGAGCCAAACTTACTGGATGGAGACAGTGATCTTGGCTTTGGAAAGATATTCCTGGCTCTGTCCGAACGTCCTACACTCTGGCTTTCAGAAAGGAGAGTCTATGCCTGAGGTTCAGCTTCTTTGCTAACCCAGGGAAAGACTGCTGCTTCCCAGAATCAGCGGCCCAGCATTTACTTATCCTTCAGGGGAAGTGCTTTCCTCTCAGCTCTTCACATTCTGCAGTCCTTAACCAGAGGCAGTACTGCCCTTGAGGACATAGGGAGAGGCTCACAGAGAATTATCCCACGCCAGCTGAATGGGTAGAATGTGATCCTTAGGGAATGAAAGTGTAGTTAATGATACAAAAGTGAAACCTTAGGGCAAGAAGGATCAAGGCAAAATGTCAGTGAACCAAATTCTGATTTTCCAGAAACTTATTGTTACAAAATTTGCATAAGGTACTTGAAACCAATCATGTGTACTCCCATATTGATACTTTGTAGTAACCATGAAACACTCAGATCTCCTCCCTAATTTTTTGTTTATGACCAGTAGTTCTTTTGAGAAATGTTTTCAAGAGCCCTCTTCTAGTGACACTTTTAATACAAAAAATCCAAGAGGATTGCTTATATCTAACTTCCTTCATGATATACCCTGTTAGTGCCTGGCAGGTCAAAGATACGGTTGATGTTGTGGTCATGACTTTTTCTAACTCTTCCCCAGCCCTGTGGCCAACAGGCCAAGGTTGGAGATGAGAGGGAACAGAATTCAACTCCCAGCTGTGCCACTTGACCTGCTGCTTAAAATCTCTGCCTCATATTCCTAATTTGTTATTTGTTGTGAGGAGTAAATATGATCATGTTAGCAAAGCACGTAGTGGTTATTACATTATTACAATTACTATTACTATAAAATTTGGTTTGCCAGCATTTTTTCATGCATGTATGTAGAAAACCACTAGTCAACAATGAATGATTACATACCTGTTGTTAATCTTCTTGAGCCTTTTACATAGAACTGCTCCTGTCAGAAGCTGTTTGGTCTCAAATAGGTGCCTACTATTTGGAGCACCTTTACTTACAACTGTTGGTTTTGAGCTTATTTTCTTTTTATAATTTTCTTTGCTCACACCATCTTAATAAATGTTTCAGACCAGCAGTCACAAGCACCTCTGGGGTAACTTAGGTTCATCTTTTTTTATATTATTACCTGCCTCTTGGGGATGACCCTCCAATGCACCACCCCTCCAAAGTCAATTCTGTATGTGCCTAATAGCTAGGTTTTTTTTTAACTCCCAGTGCCTGTATATCATTTTCATTTGGTTGATAACCAAGATAAACTTAATTCAATGAAATTTAAGGTATATAGGCTTTCTTTTTATTGTGTTGAATTGATTCATGTTGGGTGGTTGGGAGATGGAGTGCTTTTCATGCCCATAACCCTCTAACAAGATCAGTTTCAGGGCAACAAATGAACACTTGGGTCCCTAGAACCTTTATGTAATCACCATTTCCTCTCTTCCATGCTCTTTCCAATACAAATTCAGTTGCACATTTTTTGTGATCTAAACATTTATCGTATCATATTATTTTTTAAATCAATTATCATATTATGATACTTCCTTGTAAAAGCAGCTTTGTTGAATGTCTTCTGAGAGTTTATTCTCGGCATAAAATCTACTTATTAACCTTTCCATATCCCATAGGAGATCTTGATGTTGGAAAGAGGCTCAAGGGGCTGCCAAGTGATCCCTTCCATATTTACTGCTTTCTATAGACGTCATCTCAACATCAGAATTCTGTCTTCCACATATGGCTAACAACTGTTCTAGTGCAGCCTTGTCATTGGGGAACACAGTGTTAGATAAAAC